TCGGGTGAGTTCATTGTGAAACCTGGCCCCACCTTATCATGCGAATTCCTGAGATCAGATGGCCCAGGATGTGAGTGGGCGTTAAGGCGTCTGGGAAGGGATCTCAAAACTGGATTATAGATGGCAGAGAGTTGGTGTCGTAAACCCCCGCCTCTGTTCAAAGATGGTCGCTCACAGTGGACATAGATGGCTTCTTTCACTCCTCTTTCAAACCATCTGTCCTCTCTTTCCAAAATGTGAACATTGGCATCCTCGAAAGAGTGTCCTTTATCCTTAAGATGCAGATGGACTGCTGAGTCTTGTCCTGTGGAGGTGGCTCTTCTATGTTGTGCCATGCGCTTGTGAAGTGGCTGTTTGGTCTCTCCAATGTAGAGGTCTGGGCATTCCTCGCTGCACTGTACAGCATACACCACATTGTTAAGTCTGTGTTTTGGTTCACCCGAAAGACAAAATGCCAGATATGGTGAGGGAGGGCAGAGTTGAGGCATGTCTCCTGAAGTCCACTGTCATCTCTACAGTTTTAAGAGTGTTCAGCTCCAGATTGTGCTGACTGCACCAGAGTACCAGCCGCTGAACAAAAAGCCAAACTAAAGTCCACAAACAGTCCTGTTTGTAATGTTTGTGTTATTGTCTAATGTTAATGGTGGCCTATAATGTCCTTCAGATGGGCTGACACCAGTCGTTCGAAGGATTTCATGACCACAGACGTCAAGGCGACAGGTCTGTAGTCATTCATTCCTGTTATGGTGTGTTTCTTGGTAATAGGGATGGTGGTAGAGCGTTTGAAGCAGGAGGGAACTTCACACAGCTCCAGGGATCTGTTGAAGATGCGAGTATTTTTAATGTGTTCGGGAGCAGAAGACAGTAGAAAGAAATTTTATTTTAAGCATCAGCTAGCTAGGACTACACAAAGATGAATGAGTCCAACAGTTAGGGGTATACGACTGTGGAACTCTCTTTATTATAATTTAAAGAATTGTATAAATTTACATTGTTTTAAAAAGTGTTACATGTCTAAAACGATAACCCAACATGGAGAATGTGAATGAAATTAATTGAAAAAGGATCCATTATTTATTTTTATTTTTTACTTCATTAATTTTATTTACTTGTCTTTTCTCCTTGTTACTATGTGGAGTGGTATATTCTGATTGTAAATTTGTTGTTTGGTTTGAGTTAGGACTGGAGATAAATGTTAATGTTGGTTTGTTCCTTGACTTTTGGTGCACACTTGCAATATAAGTTGGATTGTAGATAGGGCCAGGGTTTAAAAAGAATATATTCTTCTTCCTGCTCCTTTTCACACATGGTTGCAGTGCTTTACTGATAGAAAGTGTAGTTGGTTTGTCTGAAAGAACTAACTGTGGAAACTGTTGTACCAAGTGTGAAATAAATAAGTAAATGAAATGAAATGAAAAGGATATGGCCGGCCAGTTGGAGCCTTTTGCGTGCAACGATGTTGTGAAGTTTAACTGTGCCACTCCTTCGCAGGATCTCCTCGTTGGTGACGTGGTCGGTGTAGCAGATCCTAAGAATCTGGCGAAGACATAGTTGCTGAAAGACGTCAAGCTTGGTGTTGATGCAGGCCGACACCTTCCAAGTCTTGCTGGCATAAATGGCAGTTGGGATCACGATTGAATTAAGCAAATGGAGTTTGATCTTGAGGAAGATGGTGGGGGAGGACGAGATCCTGTTCATCCTCTGAAATACTGCAGCTGCCTTTTCACTGTGGCATTTGACGTCCACCTCCGCATCGCCGTCATGGGAAATCACGCTACCGAGGTAGGTGAATTTCTCAGATTCTTCTAGCTGCTGTGTCCCGATGTAGAGCCCAATCATAAGTTGGGATGTTCACCTGCAACATTATTGTGTGTGAATAGACATGAGAAGACTGTCTGAGGCTGTGTCCTAATTCAGCGACCACACGCTTCGGATTACGCTCAGTTCGCGTACTACGTACGGCATGTATTAGAAAGTACGAGAAGTGTGGAAGTGAGAGGCTTGTGAAATGGGGCAATCTAGCCTTCGTCGCGCTGCTCAGGTTGCCTAGCAACCATGGATCTAACCGCAAGAAACGTTTCATACAGCATTGTTTGACAAAAATGAAGGAGAAAAAATGTTTTGTTCATTCATTTTTTTTCATGACATCACTTTAATTGGTTGAGTATCTGCGGCTAAGATCACGGGACTGTAAAAACATGATTGTTGGGCCTCATTTCTGTACTGAACAGTCATTTTAAGAGTAGGTAGCAAATAACAATTAGCTAATGCTATCCATGAGACTAAAGTCATCTCACTTTGGTAACGTAAATATGGCTAATATTGTAGTTAGTATTATATTTATCAGCAGTGAGCTTGAACTCTGTGTCAAATAAGCTTCAGTAAAGAGTCAAGTTGCAGTTATTTATATTTCCTATAAACTTAAGTCTTCACTCAAAGACAAGTATATTTAACAGTCAATATATAGATGTATCATATATAAGAGACAAATATTGTTCTTTTATTATGTTGGCATTGCTAAACTTGGCTCAATGCTTACATATATGTGTAAAAAGCAAATGTACAAGCTGTGATAACTGTTTCTGATAGAATGGAGAGTAGACTGATATATTAAATATTCCTTTATTGGGTGAGAAAATCATACCATGTCATAACTGCTTTAAGGCATACAGAATAGATATCAGAGCCTTAAACAGGCTGACTTCTGCTAAATGGGTCAAACTGGGCACAAAGTATACAAACACATAACATCCTCGTAGAATATACAGGGAGTGCAGAATTATTAGGCAAGTTGTATTTTTGAGGAATAATTTTATTATTGAACAACAACCATGTTCTCAATGAACCCAAAAAAACTCATTAATATCAAAGCTGAATGTTTTTGGAAGTAGTTTTTAGTTTGTTTTTAGTTTTAGCTATTTTAGGGGGATATCTGTGTGTGCAGGTGACTATTACACACATAAACACATGTTCATACTTTTATTCCACAATCAGAGAGAAAGAAACAGAGAGAGAGTGCAGGACAGACAGACAGGTGACAGTCTCAGCTGTACACACTGCTACACAACAGCACCAGAGAAGCAGGATTTAGTGTTTGTGTTATTACGAGTGTAAACAAGAAGAGTTCCAGATGGTACAGTGGACACATGTGTGACTGCTGTGATTAAAGCATCTTTCTTTCAGCTTAACGAGTGAACCGTCAGCTCGTTCAAACACACGTTAAAGTCCGTTTGGCTCGACACCACCAAACAGAGGCAGCAATATAACATAGCTAACATTAACATTGCAGTGAATTCTGCTTGTGCCGTGATATTCAGGACTGCAAACCGAGCAGCATCACTGACTTTCAGCTTGTTGTGTTTGTGGATATATGACTGACTTTAATTATCCACAAAATCATCACATTCTCTGTAAGATTAAAGTCAACTATTGTACGGTGTATATTTTACAGTAAAGACTTTAAAACCAAGTTAATGCTGAAACCACAAACATCAACAATGTCACATAACTTTGCCGACATGTGGCCAACGGTAATGTTTTAATGTTCTTCATTATTAAACATTCGCACATAAATAAGTGACATTTTTCAGTACTTACTTTTGAAAGTCTACTCTTCAGCAGCGCCGCTTCAGCTGTCTGCCATATTTTTCGGCAAAATTATCCACACCTGCAACCGCACCACAAATTTGAAGAAAATGACGCCGCATTTGGAGTACACATTTGGACAGTAGCGATCCTAGCCTGTTTGGCGCCCTGGGCTAACACTCCCTCTAGTGAGGGAGGCTTTCAAACATCTCTGAATATATTTGATACATACTGTAGATGTACTTTAGAGCTAGATATCACAGTTTGTCACTCATAAATACAGTCTGTGAGCAGCTATTAGTTAAAATAGCTTTCTAGAAATACTAATTTCTTCAGCAGCCTCAGGAACTATATCCTCCTCTAGGTCTTCTTTATGACGGGCATTCAGCACCACTTTGTTGCGTCTGCACTGGACACCAGACGTTCAAACTCTGCAAACTTAATTAGCTTGACAGACTGGTGGTTGGAGGAGCAGCAGTTGGTGTACAGGGAGAAGAGCAGAGAAAGAACAAAACCCTGAACGAAGCCGGTGCTGATGGTCCGGGATTCCAAGACATTCTTCCCCATCCTCACGTTTCCTATCCGTCAGGACAGGAAGCCACATGGAGATCATCAGAGTTACATCAGGGCTGTATGAATCTGATCAATATATAAATTCATGTTCCTTTCATTGGCTCAGTTTTTAAAGCAGCTGTTTTTATGGAATGACAGAAACATGAGAGATGCTCAATCTCTTTAATATTTTATACACTGAGTACTATTGGATGTCCACTTATTCAGCCGAGATAGAAAAATTACATTAAGAAAGAGAAATCAAACATTTGCATTCACTTTAATGTGCTCAGGACATGCTTGTTGAACACGGAAATGTAAAGGTTGTGAACGGAGCTTCAGAGAGACACAGGTTTTTCACAGCGAGTTTTAGTTAGCGGAAAAATAAAAATAAGATGGCGATCCAGGAATGATTGTACCTTCCATCTTAAACCTCCTAAGATCCAAATTCTTCCATCACATACATTTTTAATTTCACTTTGATATTTGGGCTGATTGTTTTAACATTCATTGGGTCCCGAAGAATCACCAGTTTTTGTTTTTACCTGATTTTTGTTTCTAGGAAAAACGAGAGAGCCACATATGAGGATACTTTTACATTTTGATAACATAGAGCCAGTATAATGTCCTTGTGAGTGGATATTAGGCCGTTGAGGAGCAAAATGTAATATTTTGGTCAAGACAACCAAAAATGTGATGTCCAAATATATGGATGCCAGGTCCTAGGAGGTTAAGGGACTTTACAGTTTACAAGGAATCATTTGGAACAGTTCAAAACATCAACCGATTGACTCCATGAATCTGACAACGTGTTTCTCAGTCAAAGAGACAGACATGTACAGACTGAACTATCTGTTCAACAATCAGAGTGTTTCCCTAACAGGAGGGAGTGCACACAGAGACATCGAACCTCCAGACCAGACTCTAAACCCAGGATAAAGAGGTTCAGTGAATGTGGTGTTGAAGGTGTGGAGGTGGATCAGAGTGTCAGAGGAGATACCGTAGAAGGACAGAGTACCAGCAGGACAGTCCACATACACTGCTACTCTGTTAGAGACAGAGGAGGAGGAGGAGGAGATGGATGTTTGTCTGTTATTGTGCCAGACAGAACGAGGACGATCATCGGAGCACAACAGACTCCAGGAATGATCATTCCTTCCAAACAAACAGTTAGAGCTTCGTCCTTTCTTTCTGATTCTTCTGTAACTCACTGATATCTCAACTCTTCCTCTCCATTCAACCTCCCAGTAACAGCGACCAATCAAACCATCTCTACACAGCAGCTGAGGATAAAGATCAAATCTGTCTGGATGATTAGGATATGACTGAACCGCCTTCACATATGTCATCTTCCTGTTGTTGTCAGACATTTTGAGGTTTGTGTGTACTGTGTTTGTGTCGATTGTGAGTTGACAGGAATCTGATGGAGAGAACAAACACAATCCAGCTGCAGTTATTGATCCATCATCTGTTCATTGACTGACAGTTTGATGATGACTCATGACATCAGAGATGTGAATGAGTGATGTGACAGTTTGAAGATGGTTAAATGAGTGCTGCTGTGTTTTTATGAACCACATTAAAAACCTACTTACACTTCCTCAGACCTGGTCTCAACCACTGGACTCCAGCAGGCTCCACTCTGGAAAAAAAGAGGGGCGAGACCAGCACAGTTCTCTTTCAGCATGCACACATGGACATTACATGGTATCCATACATGCATCAAACTGCTGAGGATTTCGACTGATCCTGGATCGGTCAGTACCCCACTGTATTGAATGAAATATGACTGATTCCAAGTATCGTGTGTAAAAAAAATTTTTTTTAAAAAGTAAGTATCTTTCTTTACTCGGTTATTTACACTAAAGAATGTGATAACCTAAACATTAAAGTTCATCACAGGCCCACACACTGAGATTAGTACTTACTCCTTGACTCTCACCATTCTCTGGAACACAAATTTGGGGTGATCGGGACCAGTGATGGGAATACCAATGTTAAATTGTGGCATTACTAAACCCTAGTGTGGGCTTAGGTCAGGTTACCTGACATCACTTCAAAAAAACTTTAGGAAGGACATATCACAGTTCTGGATCGGTGACCCAGTATTATGGGTTTTTGGATCATTATTATTATCATCATTATTATTATTATTGATCTTGGATTTTTACCTAGGGTTTGGGTTCTGTTTTGTATTTCTTGCTCTCCAGTTCTTCTTGGTTTGCAATTTCTTGTTCTTAGGTTTTGGTAACTATGTCCTTGTGTTTAGTGTAGGTTTAGTTCAGTGTCAAGTTTTTGCATGTCGTGTTTCAGTTTTTACTTTGCACGTCAGTTTCTCATGTCTTGGTTTCTAGTTTCTAGTCTAATTAGTTTTCTGTTCTTTTTGCTGACCAGCATTAAAAGCTGAGTTTTGAGATACATTTTGGGTCTTTCTTTTCTGCCTTCTGCACACAGACCATGACAGGCCAGTCGCTTTCTTTCCAGGCTCCTTAAAATGGTTAAGAGCATATATTTTGATTCTGATTCTCTGTTAGTTCAATAAAACTTTGATTCAATTTTATCTGCCGTATTTTTTGCACTATGAGGCGCACTTAAAATCCTTTAATGATCTCAAAAATCGACAGCGCGCCTTATGTATGAACTCTGGTTGTGCTTACTGACCTCGAACTGAATTTGTGTGGTACACGGCATGCAGAAATCTGTCAAAAAATGTTCTAGTACAACTTTGGTAAGCTATGAAGGCGCACTGCTTGATGGACTGCCAAAGCATTACAGCTACTGTAGTCAGGAGTCTTGCGGAGTAATCTGGGTCAAAAAATCCATCTCCTTCAGGTCCCAAAGGCAAATGAACACTGTGGCATCACTGAGAGTTAAAAATTGTCTAAATTCTTTCATAGTTAATAAAATGATCAGTGTTGCTGCTTTACTAAGTGTAACAACTAAGTTTAACATCCAGGAATCCATGAAAACATAATTTATGAAATTTAATGGAGTTACAAGTTAGCAGGAAGTTAGTTTCGACCTAAACATGACATAATATGTTCTGACTGAGAGATTTCTGAAAAAATTAAAAAATACAGCTCTGCCCATGGCACAAATACAGTAATATAGTGTATTCTGTTAATTGCTTGGAGGACTGCCGCACACTCCTTCAGCTTGGGCTTCGGGGATTGTGACAATTAGTATAACTCAGTGATGTTGATTCAGTTTATTAAGTCTAGTTACATCTGTAACCCTCAACCTGCTGCCCCAGCACGCAACATCATGGGTCAACCACCACATGGGGGGTGGCTGTAGATCAGGAGGTAGAGAAGGTCATGTGCTGATCGGAAGGTTGGTGGTTTGATCCCTGACTCCCCCAGTCTGCATGCCAAGTCTCCTTGGGCAAGATACTTACCCCCACCTACTTTCTGATACACCCATTGAAGTATGAATGTGTATGAATGTGAATGTTAGAAAGAACTGGCAAGTATACAAAACAGTGCTTGTGTGAATGGGTGAATGTGGTGTGTTGTATAAAGCGCTTTGAGTACTCCAGGAGAGTAGAAAAGCACTATACAAGAATCAGGTAATGGTAATTTACCATTTACGATTTGCTGGCCAACCTGAATAACACTCGGAAGTGCAGTCACAAGATTACCAAGCTGGACAGCGGGAACCCAATCCCTGCCCCACAAATGAAGAATCTTCAAGTGGTGTTTACATCCTGCCCCACGGCTGCAGAACAACAGGTGAGTTTACCCTGTCTTCTGCTGTCTCGGAGGCTGTCTGAAAGCTGGGAAGCGTATTTTAATTGGGGCCCCTAATTGGGAAAAACTTCCTTTTAACAGGAAGAAACCTCCGGCAGAACTGGGCTCAGGGAGGGGTGACCATTTGCCGCAACTATTTGGGGTGAGCATAGGAAGACAGGACAAAAGACATACTGTGGAAGAGAGCCAGAAATTAATAACAAGTATGATTCAGTGCAGATAGGTCTGTTCACACATAACGAGTGAGAAAGGTGACTAAAGAAGAAATACTCAGTGCATCATGGGAATCCCCCAGCAGCCTACACCTATTGCAGAATTACTAAGGGAGGATTAAAGGTTACCTGATCCAGACCTAACCATAGAACAGCACCAAGCAGGACAGACAAAGAGTGGTGCGCTCAGCCGAACGCATCATTTGATCAGAGCTTCCTGACCTGCTGTCCATCTACACCAAGTGGTGCAAGAACAAAGCCAGGAAGATTATCATGGACCTCTCCCATCCCAACAGTGGACTCTTCTCACTGTTGAGGTCTGGGAAGTGCTTCCGCTCCCTTCAGGCCAAACCAGAGAGAATGAGGAGGAGCTTCTTCCCCCAGGATATTCAGGCCCTGAACCAGGTGTAGGACTGGAGTTGCATACAATACGTCACTGCACGCACTCTGTTTATTTGCTCACTTCTTATAATTTCTCTCTTAAATTGTTATTTGCACATAATTTTTTAATTTAAATTTCTAAATTTTGTCATAATTTGTAAATCTGCAAATCTGTAAATTCTTCACTGTTGTTTAATGGTTGTGGTTTGCACAGCAGTAAGCATTTCACCACATGTCGTTCTGTGTATGTTTGTGTGTGTGACAAATTAAATTTTAAAATTTGCAGTTGTCTGCAAAATTATCCATACATAACTAGTAGATTTTTTCAGTGTCAACCATGTGCATGGAATAGTAAGGCAAAATAATAAGGCAAAATAGTGAATAAATAAATTACTATTATTATGTCAAATGATCTAATTTAATAATGTTATTTAATAACAAAATAAAATAAAAATAGACATTTAGCAAGATTGATATTTACAGTTTCTCCTCATTATCTTTAACTGTTGTTGGTCATTTTTTAAAAGAAAAATAATCTTGATCTGACCTGATAATTGTTGAGTTTGGAGTCTTCAGTATGTTCAATGCTGAATCCTGCAGGTTGTTGTTACTCAGATCAAGCTCTCTGAGACTAGATGATTGTGTGCGGATAACTAAGTACAGAGCTTCACAGCTTGAATCTGACAGGTTACAGCCATTTAGCCTAAAAAATTTTTTAAACAGAAATAAAAAAAAACCCCCACTGGTGTTAAAGTACATTTACAGTGCAACTAGATTTGGCAATATTAAATGTTTTTCCTGTTGATTCATCAATTCTGTCTTAATCATTTAGCCACATTAGCCATGTTAGATTTTTGAATAAAAAACACAAAGATAGAAAAGCACATGGATAAAGTTCAGCCTCTTGGTGATATTTTTTTCCTGAATCGTTGACAAAAATGTAAATATCACTTGATCTGACCTTAGAATTTCCAGTTTGCAGTGTTGATTTGCTACTCCAACACACAGAAGTTTCACTCCTGAATCCTGTAGGTCATTATTACTCAGGTCCAACTCTCTCAGACAAGAGGACTGGGAGCTCACAACTGAGGACAGATCTTCACAGCTTGTCTCTGTCAGGTTACAGTCAGTAAGTCTGAAAATTATGAACGCAAAGACAAATAACACAGTCATTAATATGTATTCATTTTGCAACAAGGAGTCACTAGATTTGGCAATATTTTTTTTCTGTTTGTTAATGAATTCTGACTTGAGTATTAGTTAGAAATTTAAAATTTTTACTAAGATCACAAAGACACAAAAGCACACGGATAAATTTAGCTTCCTCGTATTTTTTTTTTTCTAACAATCACTGACAAAAAATTAAACATCACTTGATCTGACCTTAGTGTTTCTATTTTGCAGTGTTGACTTGCGACTCCAACACACAGAACCTTCACTCCTGAATCCTTTAGGTCATTGTTGCTCAGGTCCAGCTGTCTCAGATTAGAGGACTGAGAGCTCACAACTGAGGACAGAGTTTCACAACTCCTCTCTGAGAGATTACAGCCATTCAGTCTGATAAGACAATAATAGGAAACAAGACAAAATCATTCGTTTTTCTGAGAGATATCAGAGGATTTATTTATAGCGATAGCTTCGGGTAGGGTTGATCGGCACAGCTTCAACTCAGTCATTCTTAAATAACCTCCTATTGATTCATACAATGAGGAGCAGCCTCAGCCATACCAGATTAGAATCTGAAAAACCAATGAAACACAAGTTTCCATCGTACACATTTGCTGTGCCATGCTATTCAACTCAGAATTACACAAAGTGCAAAGCACTTAAGCTTTTCAACCCCACTGCCCCTTGTACAAGGGGTGAGCATTCCATTTCTCACTTGCTTTTTATGCAACATTCTACCATTTGTAAAAAGCTGTTGTCTGGTGTTGGTTTTTTTGTTTTTTCCAAAACCAACCTTTGACAAGAAAGCCTAATTTCTCAGATGCAATACTAAATACCAGCCAAAAGAAGAAAAAAAAAAACCAAAAAACTTTTTTGGGTTTTATATTTTTTTGGGTCTGACTTCGTGATTGCAAAGAAATATTCAATATGATTTGGCAATGTGTCTGCTATGCACTGAGATAGACTGGTGACACGTCCAGGGTGTACCTTGCCTCTCGCCCTATGGTTGCTGGGATAGGCTCCAGTTCGCAGTTTGTGAGCAAAGTACTCTAATAGGATGATGGCACTAAAAGGACATTAAGATAAAATGGGGCCTAATTATTCAAGACCTTGTATGTGAGGAGCAGGATTTTAAATTGTGGATTTAACAGGGAGACAATGAAGAGAACCCAATAGAGGAGAAATCTGCTCTCTCTTTCTAGTCCTAAGTACTCTTGCTGCAGCACTTTGGATTAATTGAAAGCTTTTTTGAGTTTTTTGAGATGCTGATAATAACAAATCGCAGTAGTCTAGGATAGAACCCAAGACATGCTTGGGTTTGGGAACGGATGGCCCGTCTGGGGGTACTGATGGCTGGATCTGGGAATATAGATTATGTTTAGGAAGTGTGAGTGTGTGCACATTGTTGATTTTCGTCTGGCCTCATGCTGAGTGAGGCCATTTGTATGTGTGTGATTGCAGGTGGGAAGGCATGCTTTTGTCTGTGTCTAAATCTCTTTTAGAACAATTCAGGCTCCCCCCAGGTTTGGGGGCCCAATTCTCCATGCCACACTCTCTGCAGTTGGTTTGTGGCCCTTCCCGCCAGTGCATAAGTGGTTTGATGTGAGGGGCTTGGTTCTGGGGAGTAAATAAAAAAAAAATCCTAATAAAGGTCTAATAAAATTTGACATACATAATTCCGTTTGCTACACTGCCACCAGACACAACACACACACACACACACACGTTGCAGTTAAAGGGTAAAAGGCTATTAAACTGCAACTACTGTGTCTGCTACGGTGAAATACATCTTACAGAGCTCTGTTGGAGGCTTGTACCACTGGAAGCAGCCTCTGAAAAGCCTCCTCTGAAGCAGAGTACTTCTTCAGGTCAAACGCTTCCAGTTCTTCGTCTGATGATAGTAAGATGAAGACCAGAGCTGACCACTGAGCAGGAGATGGTTTATCTGTGGAGAGACTTCCTGATCTCAGGGACTGTTGGATCTCCTCCACTAGAGAACGATCATTCAGTTCATTGAGACAGTGGAGCAGATTAATGCTTTTCTCTGCAGACAGATTCTCATTAAGCTTCTTCTTGATGTACTGGACTGTTTCCTGATTGGTTTCTGAAATACATCCTGTCTCTGTCAATAGGCCTCGTAGGAGCTTCTGATTGGTCTGCAGTGAAAGACCCAGAAGGAAGCGCAGGAACAAGTCCAGGTTTCCATTTGAACTCTGTAAGGCCTTGTCCACAGCAGTCTGGTAGAACAGAGTCCCTGCAGAGTCTTTTGTTTCAGAATTCTGGGATGTTGTTTGTTGTTCTTCCAGCAGATTGAGTCCAGAGTTGATGAAGGTCAGATGGACATGAAGAGCAGCCAGAAACTCCTGAACACTCAGATGGATGAAGCAGAACACCTTGTCCTGGTACAATCCTCTCTCCTCTTTAAAGATCTGTGTGAACACTCCTGAGTACACTGAGGCTGCTCTGATATCGATGCCACACTCTGTCAGGTCTGATTCATAGAAGATGAGGTTTCCTGTCTGCAGCTGATCAAAGGCCAGTTTTCCCAGAGACTCAATCATCTTTCTGCTCTCCAGACTCCAGTGTGGATCTAGCTCAGCTCCTCCATCATACTTAACCTTCTTCATTTTGGCCTGAACCACCAGGAAGTGGATGTACATCTCAGTCAGGTTCTTGGGCAGCTCTCCTACCGCTCTGGTTTTCAGCACATCCTCCAGAACTGTAGCAGTGATCCAGCAGAAGACTGGGATGTGGCACATGATGTGAAGGCTTCGTGATGTCTTGATGTGGGAGATGATCCTGCTGGCCTGCTCCTCATCTCTGAATCTCTTCCTGAAGTACTCCTCCTTCTGTGGGTCAGTGAACCCTCTGACCTCTGTCACCCTGCCAAGCCACTGTGGAGGGATCTGATTGGCTGCTGCAGGTCGTGTGGTTATCCAGAGATGAGCAGAGGGAAGCAGTTTCCCCCTGATCAGGTTTATCAGCAGCACATCCACTGAGGTGGACTTTCTAGGGTCAGTTAGGATTGTAGTTTTGTGGAAGTTCAGAGGAGGTCGACACTCATCCAGACCATCAAAGATGAACACAACCTGGAAGTCTTCAAAGCTGCAGATTCCTGCTTCTTTGGTTTCAGTAAAGAAGTGATGAACAAGTTCCACCAAGCTGAACTTTTCCTCTTTCAGCACATTCAGCTCTCTGAAAGTGAATGGAAATATGAACTGGATGTCCTGGTTGGCTTTGTCTTCAGCCCAGTCCAGGGTGTATTTCTGTGTTAAGACTGTTTTCCCGATGCCAGCCCATCCTTTTGTCAGCACTGTTCTGATTGGTTCATCTCTTCCAGGTGAGGCTTTAAAGATGTCCTCTTGTCTGATTGTTGTTTCTGGTCTGTCTGGTTTCCTGGATGCTGTTTCAATCTGTCTGACCTCATGTTCATCATTGACCTCTGCAGTCCCTCCCTCTGTGATGTAGAGCTCTGTGTAGATCTGATTCAGGAGGGTTGGGTTTCCTGCTTTAGCGATCCCCTCAAACACACACTGGAACTTCTTCTTCAGAGCAGATTTATGGTTAAGTTGACAAACTTCAGCCAGATGTTCTGAAAAATCAGCCAAAAAAAAAATATCAGTTCATTTTTTACAAATTCCAGATGACAGCTTTGTTTAAACCAATGTTATCCATCTCCTCAAAGACGAAAAAATGTTCTAGTTAATCAGGAGCTAGAGAAATCCTCTTACTGTTCTGCAGACAGTCAGCCAGCTCCTCCTGCTTCATTCTCCTTAAGAAGTCCACTGTGATCTTCACAAATCCCTCTATGCTGCTCCTCCTCTGCTCATCATCCTCCCGCTGACTCTCTATGCATTCTGGGTAATCTGGACTCAGAACCTTCCGCATCTTTTTCAGCTCGTTCTTCACAAAAGTGATGATGTTGTCCTCCAGCAGCTGGAACAGAATACATTATGAATGAGCCAATCAACTGAAATCATGGAGCCAAACATCAGATCCATGTTGGACACACTGACAATCCACTGGTCTACAAAGAGCATCATGGAGATGACTGTGAACAGAATAGATGTGAAAGTAGTTGTTGTACATGTACAGACCATAAATATGGAGTCCAGGTCTGTTTGATGCTTCTGGGCAGACTGACCACTGGGAACCTCCGAGCTCTCCTGATCCACTCTGTGGAGGAATCATGAAAAATTATTTCACATCAACTATGTCCCCAGAGAGACAAACAAAGTGGCAGACAGAAGTTTCTAGTGCACATTTTATCCCCAAAACATTATTAAAATTTGACACCATAGTTCGCTGCTCTTCCACCTTGCGAGCCAAGTGACTACTGACTAAAAGTTAGAGAGCAATGGCAACCATTTTGCCATCTTTTAAAAAAATAAATAAAACCCAAGTCCTTATTTGTTATTTTCTTAAGTTTTCTGTTCATGCTTGAGTTCTGATTTCTGCTACATTTTAATATCATTACAGTACTTCAACATGATGTTTGTTGTGTTATTTAATTTCTTTTTCTTTTTTAGTTCCTGTTGAGTTGGTGATGGTGTAATTTCCTATTTTGAGTTCATTTTGAGTTCATTACTTTCATGTGTAATTCTTCAGTGCTCATTGTCTTGACCTTTCGTGCTAGTCCATTGGTTCCCCTGTTCTTTGATTTTATGTTGCATCTTGTTTATTGTTAGTCTTTGTGGAGCAGGGAAATTATTTTACTGCTATTGTTAAATAATCATCATTATTACCATTGCATTAATAATATAATCTGGAGTTTATATTGCATTCAGGGGTTGAACAGTGTGTGTCTTTCAGAAAGGCTAAAAGTAACAGGACAGGAAACAGGCTTGGAGAGTTTTGCAGAAGTGAAAGTTATTTTGAGCAGCAGGCTAAGACGAGGCTTTAACAATGTAACAGATAGCTTTAAGAAGGCCTTAAGATGTTATGCATACAGTTATTATGTTGACCTTGTATTTCAGGTGCAGTTATGACTATTTTATACACAATGCATATCTGTGCTTATTAAAGAGTTGGAGCTCGGTCAATTAATTGGGGGTTGGAAGCTTTGTTCGGCGCGATGTCCGGACAATCTATTGTGCAAGTGACTTGGAGCCATAGAAGGAATTGCAGTACATGCTTACAAAACACTTATATATCAGGTCATTTTATATTAAGCTTTTAAGTAGAGGTTCTTGGTTAAAACATTTATTTAGTAGAAGACATACATATACTCTCAGTGAGCCTCTGGTCTGGTGAAAGGTCAGAAGTGCAACAGGTGAATTGAGAAAGAGCATGTGAGGTCAACATACACACACACATGAGTTAGATTTATTTAGAGGAGAGATTAGTCATGTCTCGGTAAGAAAGAGGAACAATTCACTTTAAGACAAGAACGGAAAGTACCGGCCATGAAAATAGAAGATGATCTTCTGGGTTAAAAGTCATTGTGGTGTTGATCTGATCTATGTATAAAATGTATCTGTGACGCATGAAGGGGCGTCAGTAAATCAAACCCTGATGCTATAAAATATCTGTTCATGCTTTGATTAAGTTGAAGACTACTTGCTGTCGGCGTGCAGAGTTTTCTTCCCACACGTGTGTTCATTAAAAATCATTGTTTGACCAAGACCTTCTGGACCATGGGTGGTTTGTACTCTCCTTCCTCAATTTTGAACCTTAACATTTGGGGGCTTCGTCCGGTGGTTGAGGAGGGAGGATTGGAGGTGTAGATGGAGAAATTTGGTCTTAGGTGGTCTGACGGGCAGACATGAATTCCAGTGGTCGAAGTGAGTGGGCATAAGCCGGCTTATCCAAAAGGTAAGGCACTACCTGTTGAATTATTTCCAAAGTGTGCCAAATTGGACATGATAAAATTTAAGTCTACTCACTGAAGTTACTGGTGGATGTCTGTTTTGATTTTGATGAAAAATCTCATGAGTTGAAGCAGTTAGAGTTCTGCTAAGAAGAAATGAAAGCAGTTAAGAGTCTGATAAGAAAAGTTTAAATACTGGGTTGAAGTCCCAAAGAAATTGAGTTCGAGTCTCAAGTAGTTTGGTAGGGAATTGGTTATTTTGTTGGTTAGAGTCCAAATTTGGTCATAAGAGTGGACCTGAGCGGTCAAATTGACCACTAGGTTGCATCTGCCTCAGTCATACACTTGTGTTGGGTGTTGATTGTTGTTTCAAAGTATTATAAATTATTCTAGGACGGCAGTTCGAGTCTGCTAGGAAGCGCAGTTCTCGGAGGTAATGCTCCCTCCCGGCCAAGGACGCTTGGCCCTGACCTATCGGCGAATAGGGTTAGTACGGTTGGCAACCGGGGAGAACTTGGGAACCTCCAAAATAGCTAGGAGTTAGAGTCTCCTTACCGTTTGGAACGGTAGTCTGCGCTTTTTTGGTCAGAAGAAGTTGGACTTCGGGCGTGTAACTTTAACTTAAAATTTCGGGGTAAGCCTAGGCTGTGTAATGCCAAAAATAGAGCTTCAGGCAAAGTTTGGGTTGGTTGACGCTTTTAAATTGAGTTAGGGATTTTAGAGATGAGGCCAGAAACAGTAGAGTCTGATACTGGTTAATTGGTCGCAAAAAACTCAGGGAGTTTATCCGCTGGGCGGTTATTTTAAATTTGTCGAAATTGTGTAGGCGCTAAAGCTGACAGATCTGACAGTGGTTGTAAATATAAGATGTCTTTGTAATATAAAATAAGAGATCTCTGTGTGAAAGGAGTCTGAGGCAATGCTGGAGCTATTTTTAGACGGTGTGTGTGTGAGTGAAAATGCAAATGAGTAAGCAGCGAACTGTTTAAACCACAGTTGGTTTTACAAATACTGCTGCAAACATTGTTGAGTGTGTGTTTAAGATGCCATTTATGTTTATTAGAGGACTATAAATAAAGTTTTGAGTTGCCGTAGTGGATGTATAGTAATTGACTGAGTTTGGATGTAGATATATAAATATATTGAGTGCCCTGTATATACTTAAGACTAACACATTACTTTCAGTAGTGACTTTTCTCCAGCATTAGTTGCTGGTGTGGTTTATTTTTTCAATTTCTTGTGTGTGCGGTGAGAATTAATGGAGGTTTCAATTTTTCGTTTGTTTGTTTTTGACTTGCTCTTTCTGATTATGACAAGCATGTCTAAAATACTCTTAGGAAAGTTTGTTTTGAGTTATATTCCTCAACTCTGGTCACAGTTTAAGTGTGTGAATGCGGTGACTAGAAGGTTTTGAATGATGAATAAAGGTGTGAGAGGTATTTCTTTGGTGATGTAAAGTAGGATGTTTAAAGTTTGAAAGTGTTTTTAATTTAAGAGATGCATGAGTGATGTTATAAGAGTTTGAGTTTTTTTTTCTTTCAGTTTAAAAACACATAAGTACATACACTTGGTACACCCGTTTACTCTTTTACTTTATTAAAACAGACGGTGTATTTGAGTCTGAATTTCAGTAATTGTATGTTGATATGGTAATTTAGTTTATGTTAGGTGAAGGAGATGTCCATCTCTGCGTCTTGCAGGATTGAAAGTGAGCACGTTGAAGGTTGTGATGTGAATGCTGTGAGTACTCGATTTGAATGATTCTGTGTGATTTGAACAAAATAATAAATAACTAATAATTATAACTCATAGGCGAGTGTGTGAACAGAGGAAGTCTGCAGAGTGTGTGTGCGTGAAATAAGGGCGTATTGTTTTTACGTCAAGATTTAGTAAAACTAAAGTAGAACGTTACAAACAAACAGATAAAAAGTAAAATGAAGAGAGAAAATAACTGACAATTACATTAATGAATAGAAAACACACATACACAAAGTGCCATATGTGAAATTATTCGAGGAAAGAATCAAAAGTGAGATAGTTTAATATAAGATGCAATGAAGGAAGCAGCTTACACTCCTTTAATTTCCAGAGCCAGTGTGTTCCCTCCCCTGCCCACTTGGGCCCCGTATCAGGCGAGTATGGAAGGCTGGATAGCCCATGACGGGTAAGATCCCACCTCGAAACCCTGGGACAACCTAAGGCAGGCACAGTCACGATTACTCGGCCTCACTCAGTCCCGGTGAGCTCAGACTCACGGGTGAGATGAAGTGAAGAAGACGGGACCTTAAGGGTAAAGCCGCTGGGCTAAGGCGAAGGGGGTAAGTGGCAAGTGGAGCCCTAGCTTCTGGCTGAGGACAAGGAATGCTGCTATTTAAGGTAGGAAATCAGAATTTGGGTTAGTAAATTTGGGAAGGAGAAAATTGACTGTTTAAAGGCGAAATTATGAAGGAGTCTGACACACTGCAAAAGCAACATATGCAAATTCACACACACAAACAGAAAATGCATTAACCTTATAAAGACAAGACAAGCTCATGGAGTTTAATGCATAGACACTGATTAAACCTGGCTAAGAACACAAACATATGCAATGAAGAACAGCTTGCTATTTTGTATGAATGATACAATGGTGTGAATGTTTAATAAAATACATTTGAGTTTGTAATTGAGGAATAGAAGAAGCCATATGACAAAGGGAGTGAGTTATGTAAACAAAAAGTGATTAAAGTAGTTTTAAAAGAGTGACTTAGGAGTGCTCTCTCGTACTGAGTGATCAAGTAGTGATCACTGTAGAAAGAAATAAAATGATTTAATGAGTTGGTAATGTTTAAACATATGTTTCTGTTGTTACAGCAACTCATTGAGAGATGACTCAGTATGCAAATTAGTTGGAGTGAGTGGTGACGAAGGAACTTCCTGTGTGTGTGTGACTGAGGAAGTGACTTTCAGAAGAGGAAGCATAGCAGAGAAGAGAAGTACAGATTTGGGTAGGAAATTTATAGTTTAGTGATTATATGTTGTCATAAGGGGGTTTTATGCTGAATTTAAGTATGTTAAAGGGGGTGATTTTTGTGTGCAAATTGTGTGGTTTTAATGAGACTTTCGGTGTATTGAGGAGGTGAAATTATGTGGTGGCAAAACTTTTGTGTGTTTAAGGTTGTTGAGGTTGTTGTGGTGATGGGTTGATTCTGTCAGTTAGGTTCGGGTTGTTGTTGTTTTTGTTTTTAATAGAGGGAGTTTTAGGAAACATCGACATGTCTAAAATTGGGCCCATTATTTTGTAACAGTGCACTTAAAGAAAACCTGTCAGGTGATTTTGTTTTGTGTTTTGTGAGCTAACAATCAGCTCTATTTTTTCATTTCTGTT